TTGGAAAAAATAAAATTCATGATGTTATATTTATGAAGTAACTTATATAGATACAAAATGATTAATGCTCAATATTGAATTAAACATGCAGACATGAAAAAAATACAAATTTAGATAATACCCAAGCAGACAAAAAATTTCAAAAACGCGTTTAAACGGCACAAATTTTTCGACCGTGTTTGGCTGCTAGTCGCGGTTCCCGACTGGCAGCCAAAAACAGCCGCTTTAACTAAGAGTGAAAACGATCATTTTTACAAAATCGTCAAAATTTGAGACATTTTTTGCACACTATTCTAATAACGTTTTCGTATCCACTTTATATATTCGTTTCTGGCTGCCAATCGGGAACCGCGATTGACAACCACGGACGTTCACAAAAACTGAATGTTTATATTATCGATTTTTCCAAAGCACATAGGTACTCTAATGATACCTAACTCACTCTTATACGTATCCTAATGGTACTTCAGTGATTTCCATAGGTATCCTAGTGATATCTAAGTCATTTCGATAGGTGCCCTAATGGTACCTAACTCACTCCTACAGGAGGTATTCTAGTGATGCCTAACTCATTCCTCTAGGTATTCCACTAATATCTAAATCACTCCTATAGGTTCTCTAACTGTACCTAAGTCACGCCTACAGGTATTCTGATGGTACCTATGTGATTTCGATAGGTGCCCTATGGTACCTAACTCATCGCGACAGGTACCCTAATGATACCTGAGTCACTCTGATAGGTATTGTGATGACGAGTAACTTCCTCTTATGATTATCGTAATGACACCAAAGTCACTCTTATAAATGCCCTAGCGGTACCTTAGTCATTTCTATAGATACCCTAATCATATTTATGTTGGTTCTATGTATACTCTTATGGAACATAAAACTATCCCATAGGCATATCGTTGGTGGGTACGTACCTCGTGTGGGTAGCTTAATTTCACATACAATTACCCTATAGGTCTTTCATGAGTGCCTAGACCACGCCTATAGGTGCTGCAACGGTAGCAACACTTAGCCTACATTTACCGCAGTAGTACTATTGCTTTCCTTGATGCACACGATAGACATATTGATTCATCGTCCAGATAGTCAGTAGGTACGTAGAAGAATGTGGGATGTGCATAGATGTTAATTTTCGATGTAGGCGTATAGCTTGGGAACTTACACGTGAAAGTCGTCGATGGATACACACGCAAATACGAATCCGTGCATTATTGAAAGTGTGACTTGTAGATTTGCTATATTTTCCTTTTAATGCAAGTTTTAGAAAATTAAAACCGGCCAAGATTTGTACCCATATTAGGCCAGACTCTGATCTCCTTTTATATTGCAAAATCCTGTATTTTATGGAGCGGAGAATATCCGAAAAATAGCAAGCAGTTAACGTGTTATCCTTCCTAGAATCGCCGAGTCTTATACGTACTAATTTTGGTGTTGATCTGGAAAAGCAAAGTCCACATTGGCAACCTGCAACTTTGGGAAGATCTGTGGATACTGGAATTTTACGAATTTTTATCACATTGCTATAACCTGAAGCTGTGAGAGTTTTCGTCGGTCACTGTTTATGTATATGACTAACTTGAACGACTCTTCTATTGAAGAGCTGGCGCATGTAGAGATATATCTGACAGGGTCTACGGAGGGTAGCATATCAAGACTTCAGAAGTTTACTCGGACCGCCTTGACCCGCGCCCCATTGGTGTGAGCAGTTCGGTATCAGAATAGCCACCACAGCACGCTTGCGTACAGAAAACTCCAAATTTTCTTTCTATTTAGCTCTCTATAAGAAGGTTAGTTGATACCTGCCATCAAGTCAACAGTCAGTTTAAAGATCTTATCATCTAATTGATCAACTTTACACTCCTTTCGGATGAATGCTTAATTTTACAGCACTTTGATCGATAAGTCACTTGTATAGTGCTTTCATCTGATCCATTAACTTAGAGTTTCCTCCGTCTGACTCGTTACTTTTGTTTTTCTTTCTGATTGATCAGTTCTGACGTCCTTTAATACCATTAGTCACGCCAGAGATTCCAAGAGAAACAGACGAAAAAGTTTCATTCCGTAAGATAAGTAAAAATGAGTTACATCTAATATTTGCATTTTTTAAATTGTTAAAGGAGTAAATGATGATAACTTGAAGTATTTAAGTCAACAAAAACAAGAATGATCTGGAGCGTTTAAACGATTAAGTTTTCTAGAAGAAGAGATACAGAAAGTTTCATCCCACATAAGATGACTAAAAACAAATCAGATGTGATATTTAAATGGTCAACGTTTTAAAAAATAAAGAGCAAAAATCTCAAGCATTTAATTGGATGGAATAAAATGCTTTGCAGCATTAAAACGATGAAGAATTCGCGAAAGAATGGCGTAAAATATTTCATTTTATAAAATTGATAAAACACAGTGACTGGCGATGTTTAAATAATTAAATTTTTGTAGATAAAAACATCAATATATTCACAATCGTTTAAATCATGAGGTACTGTTGAAAGTAGGTGTTTAAACGGAAACTATTAAGGTAAATAAGATCCCAAAAATAATAATCGTGTTACTCTTCCTATAATCGTTTGATTGTATGACTATAAAACGGCTGAACTTAATAGGAGAATAATGTAAAATATAAGTGGAGCAGGAAACACATAACATACTTTGTTTTGAAGGATGAAAATGATCAAGAAAAGTCTTCATACTTTTTGCAATTTTAGCGGTGCAGAAAACGTTCTGAAAATTTGCCTTTCTGATAGTCAATAGGCGTTTTTTGCGAAATGAACGTTTAAACGATAAAAAATGTTGCTATTGAGGCGTGAAAACGTCCAGAAATACTTGCTTATGAAAAAGTGACCATGGAAACGGAAGAATTACAATATTTTCAAGCGTTTATAGTACCACGTTTTTTTAAACGCCTGTAAACGCGCAGAAAAGTCGTTTTTATTGCGTTTAAACGCGTTTTTGACAATCCTTGTCTGCTTGGGTCGGAACAAAAGATGTAGAAATACGGTTGTTGTCACTTACAGGACGAGGTGGCGTCTCAGCTATTGTACTAGCAGTAATTATGTTACCAGATTTAATTTTAAAATCAACTAAACATGGAGTTGGTTCGTTATCATCACTAACAATTGATCTGAATGGTATTTTTGATGCAGTGAATGGCTCATTTTTCTTCAGAAATTCGATATTTTTTGTCGAATCATCTACAGTGTTATTGTTGTTGTTCACTGATACTTCAGTCCTAGTAGATTCCATAGTTGAGGTTTTAGTAACGTTCCCGACATCATCTGGCTGATATTTCGAGATTAGCGACGAAGCTCGCGGAACCCTTTTATTCGGGTCATCCGCGGTAGATAAGCCACTATTATAGGAAATCAGACGACAACTAGCATAAATAGTTTGACCAGAATTTATTCCTAAGGATAAAAGCGTGCGATTCGATTCACTCAAGTTTATCTTCACCTTCGTACGATCGAAAAGCGTAAAATCACAGAGACAATAATCTGTGAATCTTTGTTCGGCTTCTTTTCTAAGCATCTCAATTGTTGTTGTATGAGGTATATCGAACAAGAATGTTCCATTCGTAGAAGTGCATTCAACATGAATCATCGATGAAGAAAGTGATGATACGATTTGAACAGAGATCATTGTTAGGTCGGTAACACCCAATTCAGTTAAAAGCTTCTCAGAATTTGATGTTAGATCGAGTTCTTCGAAATCCATAAAAAGATGAATGCGCTGGCGTTCGATTGAATCTAACGAAAACATTTTAATTATATATTCAAGAAGCATTTGTAATGTTGTTGTACGTTTGTTCCATTCATATTCTATTTTGCCGATATGATTCGGACCATAAACTCGTAAACGTGAAAGCCTTGGTGATGACAACTCACGTAATGGCGCAAAACAGAGAGTGTATCCTTGTCGAATTTTAAGTTGATCCAATGTCTTGTATGTATGGAATAAAGGTGCAGGTAAACATTGATTTCCCATACGTAATTCAACCAGCGAAACATTTCCAGAATCGATATAATCAAGGTCGGTAGTTTTCAAAAACTTTTTAATGACATCATCAATTTTAGTTGTAGGCGAGAATTGAATTTTCACTAATTTTTTTAAATTTTGTTTTTGATCAGTGTATTGTAGTTCGAGCTCTATGCATTCATTTGACTTATCATGTTGTGAATCGTAAGTACAATTTTGACTAGCCAAAACCGAGCACTGCATCTCAGACGTGCTAGTATTCGGATGCGAAACTGATATTGAACATGGTGGAATAATTGCGACCTCAATCAATGTTAGGTCGGTAACGTCTAATTCAGTTAAAAGCTTCTCAGAATTTGATGTTAGATCGAGTTCGTCGAAATCCATAAAAAGATGAATGCGCTGGCGTTCGATTGAATCTAACGAAAATACTTTAATTATATATTCAAGAAGCATTTGTAATGTTGTTATATGTTTGTTCCATGTATATTCTATTTTGTCGATATGATTAGGATCATAAACTCGTAAACGTGAAAGTCTTGATGATGAGAATTCACATAATGGCGCAAAACAGAGAGTATATCCTTGTCGAATGTTAAGTTGATTCAATGTCGTGTAAATATTGAATAAAGGTGCAGGTAAACGTTGATTTCCCATACGTAATTCAACTAGTGAAACATTTCCAGAATCAATATAATCAAGGTTGGCAGTTTTCAAAAACTTTTTAATAACATCACGAATAGTGTCGGTCGATGAACATAAAATGTAGTTCTCACTTTTAAGACCTTGTTGATGATCTTCATAGTGAATTTGAAGTTCTATGCGGGAACTTGTTCTAGTATTCATTAGATCACTCCTAATCATGGAATCATCTAAATATGATCCGTGTTCATATGACACGATGACGTTTGCTAGTTAGTAGTAGTCAAAGTAGCAATTGCAGTAGACATGTTTTTTCAAAAAAATCAAAGAAAATCACTCATCTACAATATAAAGATACAAACATTTAGAAAGAAAAAAGTACGATATATTATCCGAATATGATAACATGCACTTTTAAGATGCATACTAATTTGATTTTTATTGAAGAACACTTACATTTTTAGTCGCTTGAAAGAAGTTTATAGAGGAAAGCAGAAAAACATTATGAATCATTATTTATGCTTTTCACTTGATACTGCTTCGTAACTAATTGACATCGTAAACATTTAAATGTTAAAAACATATGAATGTCATCATTAGCAAATAGATCTTGTTCAGACTTATACGTTTCAACATTGAAGAATAATTCGAGAAAAGAAACACCCTTAGCAGGGACGGCGCGAACGGGGGGGGCCCAACTTTGGAAATTTTTGTTTCAATTTTACTCCGATTTGAAGAAAATAGAAGAAATTTTTATTAATTTACTCCGATTTTTGAAAAAAAGAGAAGAGATTTTTATTTATTTACTCCGATTTTTGAAAAACAAACCTCCCGTTTTCAAGTAACCCCGCTATATTCTTGTTGCTTCGCGCCGTCCCTGACCCTTAGATGCCTTTGTTGTTTACGTTTGTTAGAATACTTTTCATGGTCGCAGCTTACCGTCTGCCTTGCCATGAGCAACTTGAAAAAAATATAATCGACCACAACAACATCAGAACACCAAAAACAACTTCGACATCAACATACAATCAAAGAAAACTATTTAGCTTTTCTATTTTGTTTTGTTCTTCTCTGTTTACTTCCTTCTGTACGTTCGAAAGTCATGTGCGCCATTTTATATTACTTAACGTATCTACTTTTATCGATATGGAAAAGGCCTTATATACTAATCAAGCAAGTTTTAAAGTTATAAATACATGATTAGTTCTTATCATTTGAGTAGATATAATACGATTTACGTAAAATTCAATAAACTGTACGGTGATTACTTTCTCAATAAATAAATAAAAGCTTACTTTTATTAAGAAAACATTTAGTTTGATATTGCTGTTTAAAAACTATTAATTCAAAATGTGTGTTTCATATATTCTTCTACTTTGAATTCAAGTTGAAGAAATGAATGATGCTTAGCATTCTCTATTTTCTTGCTTCTTCTTAATTATCTAAACAATACTCATGACTTTGCGGGAATATCCAATAAAATAGCTTTTATCAACCATCGTTTCATTCATTTGAACGATCATTTTATTCAAAAATATTTATTGACTACCTTCGAATCATTTGAGAAATTTTTTTTACACATATAAATCATTGATTAATTACTACTATCGATCACATCCTTAATTCTCTATGTTTTCATAATATTTTTGAAGAGAACATCATTTTTATTTTCAGTCCATTAGAATTCTTGGGCATTACATTCTGTTTACTCGATACTTTCTTTTCGATTTTACTTTACAGCTATTTTGGAATATTATTATTAAACGAAAAAATCATAGAAAAATGTTATACTGATAAAAAGGATCAGCGAAAGTGGCGAATGTATTGTGGAGCTGATCCGAATTACTCCATGTGGGGTAATTCAGACAACTCTATGAACCTATGTGGGATAATTCGGATCACTACAACAAAAATAGCTGGACTCATTTTCTCCATCTTCTAACTACTTTTTCCTATTCGAAGTTGTAAAAAGCAAATATACCTTTCGATAGTCCGAACTGTAGTGTATGGGACCTGAAATCATCTTGACGGTTGAAGCGACAGTTGTAATATAATACTCACAACAAGGACACCTCTATCGATCAATTGAAAATCTATCCGGGGTAATGCAGATCACTCCAGCTGTTTTCGCTGGTAATAACTTTTGAAATCTCTACCGTTTCTACAATGCAAAATCGATGATTGAACCCTGAAGAAAAGTTGTTCGTCTTGCTCTTCTCTATGTGACAATGTAAAAAAACATTATTTCATACCACCAATAAAATTTTAGACCAATTAGTACACATATATTTCAAATGTTTTTTGCAGAATTTTTTTTTCATCGAAAAGTTCAGTCCCGGTACCCCCCCCGACCNCAAAAATCAAGAACTTCCAAACAACTGTTGTAAGGTATATCTAACGTGAATTTTGAGTCATTATGATATTTTAAATATTCTACATGTTATATATACTATTTATAAAAATTGTTGATCACATTGGATTTTTTTCTTGATCCTGGGTAGAGCCGAACGGTTCCTGGAAAAAATGAACCGAGAACCGGATTTTCAAGATTCTATTACCCGGAACCAGAACCGGAACCGTAACTTACTTTACTGATAATTTGAGTCATCTATGGTTTATAATTTTCGTAACTTCAGTTTCTCTAGTAAATTTTCCATCCACGGATTACTTTGAATTTCCATTCTCATCTTAACATTAAAAAAAAATTTCTATGATAAACATAGATGTGAATAATTATGCTTTTTATACTTGCCATTATTAAATTTTAGTACTCTAGTATTGGAGAGAAAAACTCATTGTTGTGAAAATATTCTATAGTTTATTACAAAAGGAAAAGATCATAGAGGTAATTAAAAGTCACGCTGCAATTGCAACGTTGGCTGAGTCAACAATAACAAAGAAATTGAAAAAAGACCAATAATATAATAGTGTTATTTATGATGAAGATCTGAATGGTAAGGAAAACGACGGGTTTTCGCATTAATTAATTAACTAATGAATGCTTCTATGCGAATATTTTGTACGATAGCGATTTTCATACTTTCTTTCTTCCTTTGTTTTTTGAAAAAGTTTACTGATTTCATACATTATTGTCAAACAACGATTCCAGAAGATTTTTCAAGAACCGAAACCAGAACCTTTTTTTTCGTTCTTAGGAGCCGGAGCTGGAGCCAGAGCCGCGGCTCCGGTTCCTGTTCCTTTTTCGGGTATCGGGTAGAACCGCTGGGTTCTAATGACAAGTGTCTAAAATACTTTTCTAATTGAACAAAAATAAAATTATTTTATAGATTACCTATCCTTTCCGGAAAATCCGATAAAAAGATTGTTTTTAAGATCTTATATATTCTTGTATACTTATGAATAATTACTTTGAAGCCTCTTGATCACTACAGGCAGATGATTTTTTAAATAAAACTTGATGTGCAAATATAATTTACTGAAAAAGAATACTTGCAAAAAGCATCTGTGGCTGATGCATAACAAACAGAATATGTTTTTCTTTGTTTACTACTGAATTAATATTGTTCTATTTCACTGAAAAGAACTTTTGAAAAGCTTGACAGTTTAATGAATGATTATATTTATTTATTTATATGTTAAGATTCATAAATAAGAATAAAATTAGTAGTGATCTTAGAGATATTAAATAGAATTGTTAGTTTTGTAATTATTAAGAATAGATAAGAAATCATCAACATCAATTGTGTTACGACTTAGTTAATACGTGAGCGATTTTTGGTAGCATCATTTTTACTTCTAGTGCTATCATTTGTTAGTTATCATTTAATAGTAGGTAGAAATGTTCTCACGAATACTGTTCGGGTGGAATCACTGCACAGAAAATGTCTCAGAGTTATTAAAAATTGTTCAACATATAACAATAGCAGAGATTGAAATCAGCTTTTGGAATAGATCAATCTCCTCCAACTGCATTTGAACATAGTTCTAGTACATTATCAGGAAATGATCCAATCACATTTCCAGCAGGGTAATAGTTTCCAACGACTCTAGCAGACTTGCTATTGTTGCTAAGTGCAATACCAATGCCTAATTGTATTGATCTTTTCCATATAACTTGAGTAAAATGACCTGTCGATAATGAAAAACCTGGATCACTGTAATTGTACAAGGAGATCTCGTTGTACCAACTAGTAGTTGGCGTCGAACCTAAAAGACAAGTAGACAACTATAGGTTTAATCATTTTTCCTTAACAATATTATGCATAAATTACCATTGACAAAGGTTATTACAGCTGATGATGACATACCCCAAAGATTTTCACCTAATCCTGCAGCTCCGCTATGTTGAAATAGATTGTTCGCCGCCAAATAGTCAGCATAATTCTGTGCAATAGTGTTTAACGTTGAATTTAATATCATTGAAGGAGTACAATGACGTTCACGAAAATAATTATGTTGACCAAGAGCTTGCTGTCGGAAATCATCAAGGATTATTGCGCTGTAAACTGAACAATTAATTATCACCAAACAAGTAAACACTAATTGTACCAGCCACATAATAGTTCTACTAAAACAAAATGAATTATATTTCATTATAGCTTATGGTCATATAGAATTCGGTATGCTTACTAGATTTATTGTTAACAAAAATAATTTGTATCTAAATCTATCTTAAGTACAAGCAAATAAATCTTTACTGAAAATTCGTTTTTTTTGAAAAAATATATAAACTAAATTTTTTCTTATTTAATTATATGACGAAAAATATAAAATATCCGCAAAAAACGCAAATGAATATGTGTTTTTGAGTCTGTTTACATTGTATAGAATCGAATGAAGAGCATGTCTGGAACGTCAGCGAAGTTTAACTTGTACTGCTCAATAAATTATTCCGAGACAGTGAGGTTCAATCAATCGTATAAAAACGGTTATTTTGTATTAATTTGTCACTGACGTCAATTGATCCTTCACTAATTTTCTCATTTCGATGTCATACAAACTTAGTCTGAATCTACCTTTATACTATCTGTCAGTACTATAAATATTTACACAATTCTTTGAAAAAAGTAAGAAACTAAACTACTCTGTACCACCTATTTGTCATATATATATAATTACTATATTTTCATATTGAATATGTGCCGGCGATGGCGTAGTAGTTCTATGCATCTGATTATTAATCAGACATGAAAAGGTTGGATCCCTTCCCCCGGCACGGCGTCTTCGGTGTCAAGATGTATGGTATCGGAAGAACAGAACTGCACGTCAATTTCGTCATCACTGTCTCGATTTCGACTTTCGTTCTGTTCGTTTACGTTTTTGTTTTCGCTTCCTTGTCATTCTTTCTCTGTTTATTAACGCAGTCTTGTCTGTTGACTCTTGTTTTCGTAAGCGTCTACAAAAATGATACAATAAATCACAAAAATCATATAATAAATCACAAAAACATGTATGGATGTCACGAATAAATATAGCGCATAAGCCAAAAAAGAATATTGAGTATGTCACTAAAGAGACCTTGACTGTTTCAAACAAAAAAAGTATCATATTTTCCCAATTACTTGTTAATAGTTTTCCCATGATAATAATTTGTGCAACATAATAACAGTGGTCAATAGTTTTCAGCTTAATACCCACGAAAAAAAATTTCACTGAAATCTGCGTTTGAACGCGTTTCTATTATTAAATTTTTTTTTCATTCCGGCGTAGAACAGATTCAAACTAGGAACTTTCGATTTCAGTTACGTGATATTATTGAGTGAAACTTACTGATATCAGAATAGAAATGCAATATCTATATGTATTGAATTGAAGGATACATGTTCAATTTATTCATTTTAAACTCAAAGTAAATTTAAATTTCGAGAAGTGAGTTTTAAAATAAATTTTAATAGTTCTATACAAAAACAAATTTAATTATTTAAAAAAAACATTTTTGAAGTCATTTTTTTGGGGCCTAAAAGCTTTTTCCAAATATGAATGGCTCAATCCTAGTATTTTCCCAATATTAATTGTGACTTTTTCAGTGATTTTTGCTTTCAGCTGTTTCAATTTTCGATATAGTAGAGACTTAGCGACTCATTTAGTTACATTTTCATTTGCTGAAATACTGAAGAAAAATTCTAAATAGCAATTAAGTTTAAATATTTCAGTTATCAGGAGGGAAACAAAGAGCACTAGTCTTCTATGTAAACATTGTATAGTTAAAAAATATAGATTAAAATATGTATTTTCGAGTGTCTACAAGAAAAGGTTTTTTTTTAAGAAAAATAACTCGTGGATAAAAATCTCACTGAGAGACAGAGCAAATCAAAAAGGATATAAATACGTACAAAATAAAATGCTTTTCAACGATGTTTTAAGGTCGTATTTTAAGTTGAAAAAAACCTGTTGTAAATAAAAGAAAGAATGCATTTCAACGTGTTACGCACACAAAATCATGCGTTAGAGAGAGAAAACGATGCGCTAAAATGATAAACCAGCGTTTTCTTTTAAAATTTTGCGTGAAAACGCTGTTTCATATGATTCATTTTTTCGTGGGTATATTTCGATGTCGATCCAAAGAATCACATATTTTTACAGTAAGAAAACATTTAAGTCATGCGTAATTATCGGACACATAAGATAAAAATCAATATTACATTTTTTATTATGACAGGTAAAAAATTACTCATTTCATCTGTAATGAGTCTACTTTGGATAAAAATCTTTTTATAAAAAAAACAAAAAAGTTGCATCGTTAATAATCTTACCAATCATCACTGAAATATGCTTTAAGTGCATATGATTATGTGGAACGAATGATAAAAACTTGAGAAAATTTATATTCTAATTAAAAAAGAATGTGACTTAAAAAATACTTACATATGTTTCATGAACTATTATGTCATACGAAGTAGATGATTACTTATTGCCGTTGTTATATTTTAAGAAATACTACTTCAGCAATTATTTATAGATTGATCGTACAAATAAGATATATTTGTTACCAATTGAGATTGTAAACACAGAGAGAATCACCAGTGCAAGCGGCCGAACAATTAGGTTTGTATAGGGCTACAATGGAACATTTTATAAAGACTTGATTTGAATGTAGAAGCAATTCTATTTAAAGTAATTTTCGGAATTCGGACGCTTCAATAAGATTAATCGTTGAGCATGCGACTATATTGACTGAACAAAATAAAATCCCGTTTTTACAGAAATCAACGCTATCATGCAACACTAGGAGATTCAATCGTTGGGCGATCAAGGATCACTGATTATCATGAGCCGAGCACATTCTATGAACTTTTTATTTCAATACACAGTGCTTTCTTGAATTTTACAGATCTATTATGTTCTGAAGCACAAAACACATTTGTTATCCATAATGATTGAATTCGACAATACTGACTTGATAACTATGAAATAAAAAGACTAACAAGTAAATACGTACATATATGTATATTTTAAGTGAATATTATTGATCCTATATAAAAAGAATCCGTTGCTTATTCGCATTATGCAAATCATCGTGAAAAAGAAAACAGAGAAATTAGTCTGACGAAGACATAAATAATAACGTTCATATTAGTTTTTAAATAACATAGATTAAACTCCAAATAATAAATAATACTATTTTCTATACTAAATAAATAAAATAGTTGATAGTTTCACATTTGCTTCATTTTTGTTAGACATTCGGTTTTGAAACTGTTCATGCTGAATAGATATATTTTATAATAACTGTTTTGTATTAAAAAAATCCTTGTCTATTTTTTTTACACTATTAATACTGATCATCCTAATACTACTATTAGATCATTAAATGATCTTTTACTTGCCTATGAGGCTTTGAAATACGATCGAAAAATAGCGAAAACTCATTTCTATAGAATTGTTTCAACATTATCTTCAGATTTCAATTGCAACAGTTCTTCTGCCTTTTTTTCTCGTTCTGCTTTTGATGTGTCTATTCAAGAAGAATAACTTTTCTTCGTTCTCGTTCCTTGTGGTTCAGAGAAATGGTGTTATTTTGTCATTATACCCTTCTGTATAGTTCGCGTACGTACCTTCAATTTCTAGAACTTTCCAGAAAGTCCTTTGTTATCTCAATTTTCTCAATATAAATATGCCTGGCCTTGTGATTTGGCGAAAGTTGATAGCACTTTGTAACCAACGCACTCGTTAACTCGAATTAAAATTTAATAAGTAGACTGAATAAAATTTGCCCTAAATTTTATCCTGGTAAATTATTCTGTGTTTTAAGAGAATATATCTTTTATAAGGTGATCTTATTTTTATTACAGTAAAGTAAATATAGTTCCATAGAACAAAACAAAATTGAGCTATCAATGGACCTGTTTGTACTGCCAAACATGATGGACGGCCGGGTGCGATGCAAATGATCACATTTATTGATGGTAGTCTACGTCAGGTGATTGAGTACGGTCACCAGATACCGCCATATACGGACCGTATTGTTCAACCAGGGAGGTACTGTGATTATCAGTGGAAATGGCAAAGGATTATATCAGCTCAATGGCCCTACCACTTTGTCGTTTGGTCGGCATGGTAATCTCTATGCCGCCGATAGGGGAATCATTGTGTTCAACGATTTTTCTCGAATAGACTCGTGCATTGTTTTTTCTTTTCTTTTGAATAAAGTGAAATGATAGCTCGTACGCAGTTAGCGCCAAAATGATTCCTGAGCTAATGTTTAGGAACTCCTCGGAAGTCCTATAAAATGAAAAAAAGGTATAGGTGCATAATAGAGAAATATCCACACCATCAAGACCGCCGCTATGCTTGACGTTAAAGTTCTATATTGGTGAATATTTTAATCATGTCTCAACTATATTTTTATTATCATTCCAAATAATAGATATATTCTCATAGTTCATGATCATTTGGTGAGAAAAAAAAACAAACAAAAACAATTAACAAATTGAATAATTAAAAAACAGTAAATATATTATCACACTAACGTAAGTGAATGTATTTATCAATAAAAACTGTTCTATACGTATATAGATATTTGACTAGAAACAAAATCTATATCATTCTGGTAATGGTCATTTGGTGGGCTTTCTAATATATTTGAAATATGTATAAATAAATACGCCAAACATTGTAAAACCTAATCCGAAGATTTGTTTTATATTTAGTGCTTCATGAAATATGATTGAACCAACTAATATTATCAATAAAGTTTTTGTATGTCCAATCATATTATAAGCAACAGGCGATAGATTACCAATAACCCAAAAGATAGTCAAATTAACAAAAAATGCAATAAAACCACAAAGTAATATAAGCAGAATTGTATCGTAATTCATAAATTTCTCCAAATCATTTAAAGGTTCAAAAAATGGTACAAAACATAAAAGTAATAAGCCAGACAATGGAGCTTGATACAGTAACAATTGCAATGCATTACAACTGTGTACGTTTTGACTATGTTCAACAAGTATTTGATACATAGCCGTAAATAATACAGACATAAGCGCACCTTAAAAAATATATCATTTGGAAAATATTTTTCGAAAACAGAAAATCTTACAGAATAGACCAAACGTATTAAATTGTAAATCATAATAAGTACTGATTAATGTTCCGACAAAAACTGGCATAAAAGAAAACACAATCGGTAACGGATAATGTGCTTTGAAAAATAACCAGCTAACCAGCATAACAGCTAAAAATAGAGATTTCAATATTTACCGATGTAGATATGATTTAGGAAAGCAAACATACAGAAATAATGAGAAGTGCTCAAAAACTTACTTGGTGTCACTTGCAGTTTAATAAGTTGATATGTTCCAACAGTATTATATTGTAATGAAAGATTACTGAATGCAATAAAACCTCCAAAACAGATTGATACCGGTATCATGCTTGGAATTGGTAGGCGGACGTGAGCAAATAATTTTAATTGAAGGCAAACAAGTAAAAGAAGAAATGTAATAAAAAAATTCATTGTTGTCAATGTTAAATTTGGAAAATGATGTTTAACATAAATCCTATTCGAGAGAGAAAGAAAAGCAAAGTTCATGAAAACTTTACTTAAACTTGTCTATTTACCATTTAGATAAATTAATAACAAGTATTGATGAAATAAAATTGATTAAAAAGATAAATGTTGATAAAAAACATGATTTTGCAATACGTGGGTTAGAAACTGGATTTTGATCATTCAATATTGATGAATTACTAACTAATAGTTCTGTCGAAGATATATCAGGCGTTTTACTTGATGCCGACAAATCATCATTTGAATAATTCAATGATAGACGAACAGATTCATCTTTGTTATCAATGCTTCGATGATCTTGTGTAGCATAAGAATAAGTCATGATTTTTCTACAAATCGCAAAGAATATATTCGCTACCAATTTATCGATAAATAACTTCGACAATAGTTCAGAATAAAAATCTTACTTATTGTGCGCGCAACCTCGTTTGAAATATGAATTTATTTTACGACTACTTTTTAACCATGCGTGCCGCAAATGGAAAGAAAAAAGAAACAGAAAGAAATAATCATTCCGCGCTTATTTCTCTGTCCTCCTGATTAGTCATGGTGACAGGGCTTCAAGAGTTGAAATTCATCTACTAAAGGAATAATTGAATTTTGGTTGCTAGACAGTTTGTCGCTGGCAATTTTTAGCCATCTTACATTAAAAATATAAATCGTGTCACACGTACTGTCTTAAAGAAAAAGAAAAAGTATTGCGTATACCTGAATATTTACTAAAATGCACAAAGAGCACTATATCAACAACGAAAGAATGATTTCGTATTGCAAGATAATATGAATTGGTTATTATTGTTGTTTTTATACCGCTTCCGACGAAAATGCTCGATCTACTTTAAATTTTGACTTTGAAAAAAATAAAAACGTTCTGTCATAAAACATACTTGTATTAAATTTCCATTCTTGTTTTCAAATCAAATCTCAAGTCCTGATCTATGACCAAACAGACTTACCGGTATATATATATATAATTTTGAGGGCATTCTTTGCGTTTAAAGCTTCATAGATAAATTGGAGAGAATAATGATTTTTTTTTGTAACCTAACCCACGACAACCTTTGCTTCGAATTTACTTAAGCCGTTGTTAAAACTAATCATATTTCTCAAGGCTGTGATGAGACACATTGTCATGTAAAATAATTCTCCAATAGTCTCCTAAAATTTGAATTCACTTTCATCCAACATCTACTCACTATCATGGAAATAGTGTAAATAAACGAAAGACAAGTTAAAATATGTCTTCCACGTAATAATTCAAAGGCAACCTACTCAATAACTCCTCCACGTTATTGCCATACGATCTATATACGACTACATATCGAGCTGCAGTAAATAAAGCATGGAGTAAAAATTTATCTAAAGTTTTTACTGCTCGTTACAAGGTTGCGAACGAAACTAATTTTTTTTTTGTTGAAGAGAATATAGTTATCTGATAACGAAGCCTTCTATACCAGCTATTCGTTTCGATGACTGCTGATTTAAACCATCCATCGGTAATTGAAGCCCGTGATGCTAATATGCATTTGACGTAATAACGATTGGAAAAAAGCAGTAATTTTATCAATTACTTTAAGTCAAAATAGTATACGACTTTAATGAAAATTCAAAAGAAATTATAATCTTATTTGAAATTAGCTGTACAAATACAAAAAAAGAGTTACTTTTCAATTCGACAAAAATACAAGCTAAGATTTAAATACGCGTACTACACGTACAATATTCGAACGACAAATAGGACATTCGGCAAGCAATTTACCACATTTGACGCATGTTACCTAAAATAAAAGAGAACAGAACATTTTTTTTGCCTATTTAATCCGAAAAGTAAAAAATGTTTATAAGAATCCTTAGATCAACACAATATTTTATCTGAGTTTTTTCTCTTTTCAAGTAAATGAAACGCATTGTATTTGCATTAATACGTGTCAACATTGATTTTACATAACTACCGATCATGAAAAAAAAAATGAGGTCCGCCTATACTCAATAGAACACCGATCATTGCAAGTCATATGCGATTCATTGTACGTACCATATGACCGCAATCTAAGAAGACACAATCAACAATTGCATCCATACATATTTTACATAGTTCACTATCACATGCAGTTGTATCATCAAGCTGTTCAGCTAAACGAAAATGGAAATCGAATTTATTAGGTTAGATTCAAAAAATTAAAATAAATTTATGTGCCTTTCAATTTTTCGTTTTGTCGATCACGATAAAGTCTTCGAACTTTATCAATTAATTCACTTCGTTCAAGACATCCTTTATAATCAACAAAATTTGCTGCTAAAAGTTCTTTTAATTGACGAATATTTAGATCTTCAATATTATCTTCATGATTTATTTCACTAAGAGATTTTCGGCGTGCACGTTGATTTGTTGGCTAAAGTTCACAAATATTCTGTTTAGCAAATTCACATAGTAATCAACTTACTGAAGTTGACGATGCACATGCTGCTGATGCCGATGGTTGTGGTCTTGTTTGTTGTGTATGGGTTGATGGTGGTATATTTGTTGTAGTTTGAGACGCATTTCTGGGCGATGACGAAGCACTCGATGAAGTTCTTTGATTTGAATTTGTTCTTGGCGGCGGTAGGTCATCGCTAAGTGTCTGATTTACAACATCCGATACTGTCGTAGACACATAATCTTGTAAATTTGATGCAAAGTTATTTACTTGATTGGCAAGTGAAGAGACTGTTTGTTGAATATTTGAAAATGGTCCTGATTTTGATGATTGCTCGTGATTTCTGCTGGTTGTTTGTGGCGAAGCTTCTGATTGTTGAATAAATGAACGTGAAAATTGTTGATGTCTATTATTGATTATTAAATCTACAAGGTCTTGTTTTTCTGTACATGTATTATGAGAAATATCTTTGGCGTCTAAATAACTTCTCAAATATTTCACTTTTAATTCAAGTAATTGTTCGCTTGTTGTAACATTATTCGATATCAATTGACAAGTAACACAAATCCGATAGGATTGACTATCAGAACGATTACGTGGTGCACAATTTCCACAGTAATTTTGACGACAAACTGCACAACGTTTCTAAGAAAAACAATACGAAATTGTTAATGTGTTCAATCGATTTAATTTTACCTTTTTTCTAATTAAGCTATATGTACTGTGACAGTGTTCACATTGATCATTAGATGTTGTGGAAGATAGAGATGATGTTGGCATTATGTTTCGTAGTCAGACAGTATTTAAATAGTCATTGTAGGCAAGATAGGAAATCTAGAAATTACGTGGCATATATGAAAGAATAATGTCAGTACATTTCTAAGATATTTATTTGTTAAAGGTATGCGTAAAAATATTTACACGCGCCATGATTAGTCAAGAAAGGAAATATTATAAACAGAGTTTATCCTATTTCATGTTATTTCACATTTAGTAGCTTAGCCAACCAATAAATATTTCTCGAGAAAAACACAAATAGTTTCACCTTTAATCAAGAAAAGAAGAGAAACGATTACAGTTTACTAATTAGAATCTATTCTGTAATAAGGTATTATTTATATGTAACCTGTGAATGTCAGGTATTTCTGGTTATCAGCGACATCTGTAATTAATCTCAAAGATCTGGTTGTATATCTGCTGTTGATTTTATAAATAATTAATTGAATGCTTCAATTGTTATAAAAGACGAGTTGCAAGTGCGTAAAGAAAATTAAATGATTCATAGCAATATTCTAATTTTCTGTATTGTAATTTGTGTGTGAAACTTCAAAGAGATGTTCACATTTTCAACAGCAGTTAGTCAATAGATTTGAATTCGTAACATAAATCAATCATCTATTTTACTAATCATTTCAGTCAAATAGTAGTCGATCTCATTTTGAAACTTTTCTCTTGATTTCTCCTGATTTTTGTATTGTTACGATTAGCTTCGTTTTGAACCTATAGCGATTTCCAAGAGAGAAGAACAAATATATGGAAACATTAAACTTACATATGGAATGATAGTCGAAATCAAATGAGCCACGATTTAGTTGGAGCTGAGCTGAAGATTAAAATGAACACACATTTTCAGTGTTGCCAGATGTCGAACTTGAAAGTCTGGAAACTTGCGGAGCTTTTTTCAAATGTTAAAAAAATGAGGAAAGGCGTGAGGGTCCGTTTTTTTCATTTAAAGTACGTTTTACTCTAACGGATTCGAAACAAAAATACTCTTTATACATATCTACAACATATATTTAAATAAACACGTGCACATTCAAGCAGGTTGCCTGATGTCAACCTCGAAAATCCAAAAAATTCCGAAATTTATTTTTCGAAATTTGGAATATTTCTACAATATGTGGGGATCTGGCAACACTGTCTATTTTACTTGATCAGAACTCTATGATTATCTTTTAAATGAACCAGATCTTTCGAAACATATATTCGATTGTTAGATTTAAGTAGAGTCACGTCGCAAAAGTGTCATGAATTGCTGAGTAAATTGGCTAAGTAGTTTTTGCTACGTATTCTGATGAACACGTTTTTATTATCTATTTAAATGAACTTTATGAAATCAGCATTCTATTTTCAATTTTCAATTTTAATTCGTCTACAAGGAAAATTTTCCGCATCGATCCCATTATAGGAAAAGAGGTTAATGCATCTATTAGTGAAAAATCGGAAAGTTATCAGATAAAAATCATTGGATGGCTGTTGAATGTCAAAAAACCACTCTTGATTTTTCACAAAAATTCCCTGATCTCTAAAGTTTGAATTTGGTAACCCTGATATATATACCTAAAGGTGCACTTAATAAGATCAAACAAAAAGCATACTCAACTATTACTCCCTAATTGAATTAGTCTTGGAGAGGGTTATCTCTCATTCGTGTTCATCGAATTTTCAGAAATATCTAGCCTTACAAGACCTATTGATGAATAATATAACTTTTAGATATTATATATCTTGTTTTACGGATAATAAAGACGTTCTCTAAATATAGATGTATCGATGCTCCATCTATCAGATATATTGTATTTGCGTTTATTTATTTTATTTGTCTGTAGGCATTATTTAATAGTATAATAATACGAAGGAGAGAGGAGCGAAAAGAAAAAAACAGTCCTTAACATCATCATTAATTCTATCGATATAGTTCAAGATAAAACATGACCGGTGCAGCCGATTCAAATATGAACAAAGAAACGACGACCATAAATGAAGACGTAAGTAAAGAAATTTCGTTATTTTTCGTTTGTATTGATGCGCTCTTCTACTTAGGATAAAACGACGATCGCAGAAGCGAAGGAAATGACATCAATGGAAATCGATAAAAAAGATCAAGAGGAACCAGCTGTTGCTGCTGCTGCCTCTCCAGACGAAACGAACACATCGAAAGAAGAACAAACGACGAATACTGAAGAATCCGAAAAAGAAGGCGACGATGATGTCTCATCGAAATCAGAAAGTGAAATGACTGATAGTGAAGATGATGCACAACCACTTTTTGAACAACCAATTATTCTTGATGGCAAACGTTCACGACGACCAACATCACGTCTCGATATATCTGATTCACTGCCAACAAAAAAAGAACTAACGATTCCTCAGGTAAAGTGGTCATTGTGTTGGTCATTTTACAAAATAAATACATTCAGTTTTTTCTATTATTTAGGGACATGGCAAACCCTTAGGTGAAATTGAATATAGTAAGTTAAATAAAATTGTAAAATAATTTTTTGACGATCATAATTTCTATTTAGTTAATTATCAAATAACTCATGCTTCAACCGATGCTCTCTCTCGAATGCGTACTATTTGTTTTGGTCGACGAGGAGTAAGCATAATGAATTCTAGAAAATCATTCTCTCATTCTCGTTTTTTCTTTACAAGAATAAGTCAACAATACGAAAACATCTTCGAGAATTTAAAGGATTTGAATTTTCACGTGATAGTGAAGAATATGAAAAGCATTTGAGCAATTTAGTAAAGTAAAATATTTCGAATTAGCTGATTTTTTTTCGTGAAATAAAATCATTTGAATTTCTGTTAAATTAGATTTAAAAAAGACCAATTAAAATCGATTTCAAATATTCTTGGTTTACCAGCAACTGGCCGTAATACTGATCATGCCGAACGAATTTTAAATTTTCTATTGGAACCGCTTGATGAAGGAAAACGTGTACCAGGCAAAAAATCAGCGGGACGTACACCGAAAAAACGTAGTCATAATTCAAAAAGTTCTATCGATACGGATCAAGAAACAAAAAATGAAAAACCTGAATTAAATCATGATGTAGATTATGCTTATAAATCTGGCAAAAAATCTTCAAATAAACGTGCATCCAATGAACCAACGCCAACAAATTCCAAACGAAAAAAACGTTTGTTTGAGATAATTCTAAGCTAATTACATGATTCGAATATTTTAGGTACGCCTGCTGCATCGGATTCTAAAGAAAATCAAGAAACAATTACTGTTATCGACGAACATAAACATAATGATGAAGAAACAGTGAAGGTAAACGAGAATGATATTACAGATAATAAATTAATAGAAAAAACGGATCTCAATGAAGCAAAAGCAGCGGACCAAATAATTCAAGAGGCAAATTGATAAAGTCTATTTTTAACGTTTTTCTGCGTGTTATATTTTTGTTTTTGGGTAATCTATGTTTTTGTATATATATTTCTTTCTTTTTGGTATCAACTTTTGAACCGGAATATGCATGAACAATCACGAAGAAAAAAAAGAAGGAGCTATGATAGATTTTGTTTCGTTTATTTTCTTCTTTTTTTTGTGTGACTATGATTGAACTATTTAATTTCCTTGTTTTTCTTTTGTTTAAAAGTTTCTATTTGAGAAAGTAAAGAGAAAGATTATTTTTATCATTCGTTGTTTTTTGATTGAAACCATGGACGAAGGATTAAGATTATGTGACGAGCACATATTTCAATGTTCGATTTGTTGTAATGATATCGAAGAAAGAACAGTGATTTTCCAGATAGAATCATGCCATTGCCAATTTTGCACAGAGGTTTGTTTATATTCATATGTGTTCACAGATTTGCATAGTCTGCTACATTTGCAGTGCGTACGCCAGTATTGTATTAGTCAAATAAATATACCGTAAGATGATTTACTTGTATAAAAGAATATCTAATTACATTGTTGTTCTTGTATTTTACTCAATCATATTTAGATTAGTACTAATCAGATGTCCAAATACAGAATGTCATAGTTCACTATCTTCAAATGAAGTATTTAATTTTATCTAGTTTGGCTTTTTCCAAAATTCATAGATCAATTTTTTCTTAGATTCGTGCTGTTCTTACTGATTCACAATTTCAACTTTATAAAAAACGACTATTCGAACATGGTATTCTACTGTTTCATTTTACTATTTAATTAATTATTCGGGGACAATCGTTTTTAGAAGTGACCAATGATCCTCGACTACTTTTTTGTCCACAAGTGAATTGTGATCATGTCTTAATATTGCCTGAAGAACAAATAAGTTTTACAGAACAAGCAATAACCTGCACACAAGTAAGAATAACACAATCGTCTATAAATCTATTTCTGTGTCATAGTGTCAAACGACTTTCTGTCTTAAATGTCGTTGTCAATGGCATCCAAATCAGCCGTGTTCTGATTTAATGTAAATTAATATTCGGGTAGTATTGTTTCTTTGTTTTAAAGTTTTTTTCTTTTTCAGTACACCGGATGAAATGAATGCTGAATCAAATATAAAACGTTGTGCACGATGCCGTTTTCCTCTCGAACGGACTCATGGCTGTGCACAAATGACGTGCATCAATTGTAAACATATGTTCTGTTGGTATTGTTTAAAATCGTTAGATGTAAGCATCCTTCATCAGTGAAAATACTCTATTTTAAAGTTTTTTTTTCCCATTAAACTAGAATGATTTTTTCTTGTTGCATTATGAACGCGGTCCTTGTCGAAATCGGTATGTATTTATCAGGCTGATCAAATCGCGAAATCGTTTTCTTTATTCAGACTTGGTCATTCGCGTGTCTCCTTACTGCTTCATCGTCTTCTAGTGATTGGTTTATTTATTATTTTAACTATGCTTGTTATTTTAGCTTCACCGTTACTTATATTGATTGCACCTTGTCTTATTTGTTATCGATATAAGCAACTGAAAAATTACTTTAATAATTCAACTATATGGAGGCGAACTGTTCAAGAAGAAAATTCATCAACAACCAATAACTTCTTTACTTCCATCGTGGAATGTAATATTTCATCTGTTTGATGTAAATAATTTTGTGTGAAATAAAAAAAATAATATTCTTTTAAAAAGATTTTTTTATTGTGAAAAATTACGAATGAGTAAATGAAATGGTTTCTTTTTTTTCTTGATGAATCAAGTTTTATTGTTTAGCTTTGAGTTCTTCAACGAAAGCAACATATTCACTTTGAGCAGCTTCTTTAGCTTTGCCTTTGTTGGACTCCCAAGCTTCCCATTTGTATTTGCCTTTAAGATCGAACATGCCTGGTTTCGCTGTAGTATTATCCCCAACAGTGGCTTCTAAAAGATAAGAAAATGATTATATTTCTGAGTTTGTTTCTTTTTTAACTTGCGTTTGAAAAGACCGTAAAGTTTCAATAATTGATCATCAGATGGTTTTTTGCTGAGATTTTTTACTTCTTCAGCAGCTTTATCAAATGCAGCTTGCGACATGATTAATTAGGAATAAATGGTATTACAATCTACAAAAATAAATATAAGGACATTCTGCGAAGTGTAACGGTCAAGGTCTGTGTTCTTCGATGCAGAAGGAAAGAAAATGATCTGATAATAGAAAGAAGCCAGCTAGTCGGTCGTTACGTAGATACCTTTCTGATTCGTTCATTGATTAAAAAATCACTTCATTTTGAGGGGTATGTATGATGTCGCTCTGTGATGGCAAAGTCGAACGCAAGTGATTATAGACCATCTGTTTTATGTAAAAAATGCTGTTCAAAAATATTGAGAGCGTGAGAAAGCAAACACGATATTTCATGTCCAGTTTTTGGATATGACTCGATAAATCTTTTGACAACTGATTGTGGATCAGTGAAACCCTAAGAATTTACTGTTCTTTTTTTCTTCTAGACTCTATAGGAGAAACCGGACAGAATCGATTGCGACCTTGTTTTAGTTTCATTTGAGTAGGGTGTTTTGGCAGCCTATAAAAGCTAGGCAATTTAATAGCGTAACATTAGTATTTTATTTTCGTCGTCATTGAGAATATAAGCAGCAGAATAGTCATGTCCGAAGTGAAAGTAGATCTTGTCAAAATACAACACAAATCATTGCATCACCAAAAGGAGATCCGACGAAAAGTATATTAACAATATCATTCATCTACAATTCACACGTTTTCTAATTAATATTCATGTTAAGCGGTCAACCGTATCGCATTACAACCGGCACAACACAATGATGCTACAAGTCAGGTAAATGTTCAGAATATAATAAGGATGAACCAGTCAACTACTGAAATTATTGACCATGACACAAATAGGCCTCTCAATCTTTTCAAATGTCTGTTGGTGTTTGTTTTTCTTGCTGTAATAGCAATTAGTTCTTGAAGCATGCATAACAGCTCGCTAAGATAGGCATTCTAACAATCAAGCTATCATACAAGCAAAGACGACTGAAGTAAGATTATGTTTTATTTGCCTTTTGACATAGAAGTTGTTGTCTAATAAAAAAATTCAATCAATTGTTGTCATTCTCACCAGCACTGAAAAATCAGCACACTCAAAAAAAAACAACGAACGAAAAGAAAATACAACTGTCGTGTTGATTTCTTGTAAGACAATGGCGTCTTTGATGTCGAATTTGTTTTTAAATAATTAATAATGTCACTTCTAGCGGAGCGATCTTGCATGAAAATGTGTCTCTAATAGTGTACTGCAGCCGGGTCGGGTAACCGGCACCCGACCCGACCCGGTACCTGGGTCCGGGTGAAAAGCTCCGGGTCGGGCCGGGTGCCGGTTCTGGAAAAAAAAGTCGGGTCGGGCTGAGGAATTTTCAAAAAACCGACACCCGACCGGCCAACTAGTGATATCTAGAAGAAACATGAAATTTTCAGATATCATTGTCGATTTCAGTCATTTCAGTCATAGGAATGTGAATCTGATTGGGTTATTATTCACTAATATATTCAATAGTCACGACGGGTCACCTAACCTAACCCACAAACACGATTGTTCTACTTATATGTTAAAGAAACTTCGCTAAGTGTGCTAGCTGCTTTATATAACTGATCTATTACCGCCTCACATTTACATGAATCATCGTAAGTATCCATTCTCACATACTTCTACATGTTCATTAATTTTTACTTTTTATCCTAGCTCAGCTCTTCATCATCTCTTCTACCACAAAAACGTAGTTTTTAATGTTATATATTATTGATTGTAAGTATTCATTTCTCTATAATTTCTCATTTGAATTCACTTCTATTTTATCTTCTAGACCTTAGTTGAACAACAAAAACATTGTTTTTGATGTTATTTATTATTTTTATTGATCTTTTATTATCAATTATTTATTATCTATTATTTATTATCGATTATTTATCTCATTGAGATCATCTCACTAATAAACTATTAGCAAAATTTTGACCACAATCCGGTCGGGTGCCGGTCGGTTACCGGGTATAGTTGTCCGGGTCCGGTTCGGGTCCGGGCGTAAGGCCACCGGGTCCGGGCGGTTCCGGGTGTGGGAAAAATCAGTCGGGTCGGCTCCGGGTATGAAAAGTTGCACCCGTGCAGGACACTAGTCTCTAATATAATTGCGGCACTATTACCAGATAAAACACATCATCAACCCATCATTCGAAAACAAATCTTTGAGCCTACAGCAGAAACTGGATTCTATCGACGAAGACGAATATTGACAGATGATAAATCGGTGAATGTGTCCAAGGTAGATATAACTTCCTGGTGAATATTACTTTTTCTATCGAAAATCTATGTTTTTATGCAGAAACCGGCATTTGCTACGTCGTTTAAGGCAATAGACAAAGTTCAATCGCCACCTAGCTCGTTTAGAACCTCGTTGATTATGTCGGTGTTCATTCTTGTACTGATTCTACCTGGTCTCGCGCTGCCTTACTTGCACATTTTCTCATTCACAACAAAACTAAGGTGACAACAGCGTCAAAACAAAACTGGTGGCGGCAACGAAAACAAGTAATTTAATCGTTCGTCAAGTATAACAAGTTAATTTATTTTTTTTGCTTTCGTAACTACGACTAGCAGTACAAGTGTGTCGACAAGTAAGGGTGCAGGTGTGGGTCTTTGTTAGCACCGCCCACACCCCCAAGAAACATAGTTACATTTTGCAGGTAACTAAGAATTTAAATTTTAGCAACGGTAGCGTGTGCTACTGGTTACATACGAGCTGCGTCAGGACTTTGTGTCAATATCCAGTTCGACTCTAATAATTGCGGCTCAATCGGTTATGTTTGCTCTTCTAATTATTCGAGATGTTCTGCTGATGTTTGTAGTCCGGCTCTCAATGTGCAACTTGCTAATGGCATTAGTGTTTTTGTTCCAGGTAATGCCGATGATTCAATAATAACAATAGCATTACCACTTAGCATCTCACTGTACAATTATTCAACTTCGAGTGTAACCGTCTCTAGTAACGGAGTAAGTTCTGTTATTATCTGATTATCTTTGCAGTATCATAAATTAATCATTGAATTCGAAAATTCTCTAAGTACAGCTTTCGATTGTCTATTCATTCGATTTCACAGCACTGTTTGATACAAGTGCATGTTATAAAGTTATGTTCGGTGGCAACGTGAGAGATGCTCACATGACACAATCATCAGATGTATTAGTTAATATTTTATTCCCTGACAATCTTTTCTCTCTTCTGAACAAACATTTTGCTCATTTGAAAGTAATGAATACTGTTTTAAATTATAGGTCGTCCGCCTTGGAGTTTGTCATAATTTTTCGGTTGCTTTAAACTTCATTATTCTTGTTTACGTCGTTTACAAAATTCTATCTCTCCCTCTCTCTTGCAAGTGGAAGTGTGGCCATGACAGAATAAAATAAAACAACGACAATCTGTGAATTTGATTAGTGTGAATGAAAATTAATTCAGGAATATCTACAGCTGAAAGAGAAACTAAGAGAGATGTGATAGAAAAAAAAGACGAAATGATCTTCATATATATAATGCTGCAAAAAGATATACTGGAGTGAATTAGTGACAGATCTATTTTGAATATCCCACAAAGTACCTCGTCTTCCTTCAAAAATTTATTAAAATCAACTTGAAACGAGAACACCAGATAAAGATGTTGCTATCTCTTTCTGCCATCTAATTCTATCTTATGCTGTATGGTTGGATTAAAAGACCAATTACAACATTTTACGTTTTTACCTTTCCAAAATCTTTGATTCGTTAAATAATGACGCAGCAAACTATGTCATCAGACATCTCTAGTGATAGAAAATATGTGATTGCCGATTGGCATCTACAACAGCATGGCAGTTTTAGTAGTCTTGGTCGTTCACGAGATATTTCGGTAACACAGTTTTCTTCTACTCAAAGCTTAACAGATTATTTATATCAATATATTCAACAGAACTATAAACATGTGAATATTACGGATAGAAACTGCAGTGTTCTCGAGCTTTGTAAAATAGCTATTGATGAATCAAATAGATTGTTAGCTTCAAATAGCAGTGAAATTTCTCGTGTAACTAGTCGTCATATTTGGCCGGCGAATCACAAATTATTGATGGGATGCCTTGTTGATGCACATATTGTTGCTACATGTCATGATAGATATGAAATAAGCCCTTTGATACAACTGAATGATGAAACTACTTATTGTTTGATGACTCAGCTAGGAAATCATCCTACACACGTAAAATTTGTATGTGGCACCAAGTCTCTACGAGAAGAAATTTTGCAACGATTTAAGTGGCCATTTCAAACGAATTATAAACCTGCACAACGCCAAATCGACTTATTTGTTCTTAAGAGTGAAAACTTTTCGGTGCAAGAATTTTGTAATTATGCGACAAGTCAAAGTTGGCATGAGCTTGATTCTACATTTCTGCATGGTGTTCTCGTTGATTTCATTATTGCTGGTGAACCATTGGTGTTTAACGAACAAATCCATTAAGCTTTATTGGAATCGACAACAATACTCATTGAGGATAGAGTGCAGCAATAGCTCGGAAACTTTTCCTATAATTTCATAGCAAAGCCACATTACTTCACCTATGTATCATACATTTAGGTACTTTGGTATTGAATGAAAATTGACCTTCACAGTGAATTCTGTTCTAAATTAATGTGTATACAGTTTCGGATCTTGCTACATGATCCAATATGAATAATATTTTTAACGTTAGACTTCATGTTTTTACTTAATATCTCAAGAAGTCCTACTTTTTTTGTAGTGGTTTCTAAATGCATAATCCCATAGGATGTTTTTGTGATAGACTCACAGATGCGAAAACTCTGTCGCTACTAGAAGGTTTAATATTCAAATATTATATCACTGGCGATTGGCGCGAACAACTAGCTTTGTTCGCCTAAAAGTTCATGATTGTTGTAGTGATTTGGTGGTGCTCTCTAAAGAAGTCAACAAAAGTACATTTTCTGTACGTACGATTTATTTTAATTCAAATTTTGGAGACACAGAAAAAAATTACCAAGAAAAAGAATAGTGAATATTAGAGGAGAAAGATAATTAAGTGGTAATGTTGAAGTTTCGGTGCAAATTTTCTAGAAAGAAAAAATAGTGAATTAGTTCAGTAGCATAAAGTAGAAAACAATAGATATTTTGACACAACATACCTAGCTTATTAGCAAGCACAGCTAGCAACACAGTACGTACAACTGGTACCAGAGCAAAAAATATTCTCTTCACATATTTTGAAGTCAAGATTTTGAGTTGGTTACATGATCAAGGATAACCCGAAAAATGAATGATTTATACTGAAAAGCATCTATTCAAATATTTAGTTAAACACAGAGAATAGATTTCAAATTGCTTAATTGATCGATGAACACGTGACAGACGAATAGTTCATATTACTGACACAATTGGCAACAGAACTATCAGCACAAAGCTCGTATTCAATTATTTTGCTTTATTAGAAGGAAAGATTGCGAGTTGATTGTACGATCGACGGACACAGAGACAAATGAATAGTTCGCACCACGTTCGCTGGCTAAATGATGAAGAATGCCATCGGCCTCAGCTAGATTTTCTGCGGTCAGTGTCATGCAGCTTGTAACTGCAAATACCAACAAAACGATCAAACAAATCAATTGACTGATTTTTGCATTATCCTGTGTTGCCGTTCGACGCTTGAGCAGAAAGAGAAAGTGTTTAATTATAGGACCCCACAGCCTTGTTTCAAATTTATATATACGTCGTTCGCCAAACAAAATATGTATGACGAGTAAAAAAACGTTTTTCCTGAAACGGAAAAACCGATGTCTTTTTTTCTTGTTCTTATTCGTTTCTATCAAGTTTCTCCGAACTTTGATAAAATCACGCGAGGTTATCACTTTGGCTGTGTACGTATGACTAACAAGCATTATCATGATTTTATTTCGGCGAAGGGAAACATCAGGTGCTTCTCATTGGTTTTACCTTTGCTTTTGAAAAACAAAACTCTTCGGGTTTCATATGACTATTTTTTTTCTACCGGATTTCGATGATTTTGTCTTGGCTCTATATTTGTATTTAGTAATCCAAAGGTTATCTTATATCTAGCCAATATTCATGTTGGAAAAAGAAATGGGTTTGATTCCCAATATGAGTAGGGTCAAATTATTATTTTATTTAAAAAAATGAAAGTCAATTACAATAGTTTGGCTTTAGGTGCTTATTTAATATAGTTTATTATACAAAAAAAAGCAAACTCGCCACTAAATCTGATAAAGATATGAAAATAAGTAAACAATAAAAATGAGAGAATTATTAAAACATGGGAGGTCGTGATATGATCGGCATAAATGTATGCGTTTCAAAATTTTTAACCATGTTTCGTAAGCGGCTTTTGACGTATTCACGTCGTTCAGCCTAAAAAAAGAAACAAAGAAAAATAATCGTTGGTAAATAAATACAAATTGATCTCGTACATTGTCACTCGCGGACATCTAAAATAAAAATAAAATAAAACTAACGGAAATCATATAAAAGATTAACTGACCATAAGATGCATGCAAACTCGACGTCTACGCGCTGTTAATCGATTTTCATCAGGTGATGTTTGATATTGTAAATCTGGTGAATTCACTTCGATTTCACGAAAACCAAATTTAAGAACATGATGTGGAAGATTCCTGAAAAGAAGAAGAAAAAAAAACAATCAGAGAACTATTTAAAAACAAAATATTTCCTACATTTTTGCACCACGAATAGGTGGTAAAAATTTCTTTTTATTATCTTCCCGAGCTATGAATGTTGGATAATGAATAGGACTTCGTGGGCTATCATCATCTCTGACTGATCTCGGCGCTTTTATTTCACTAAACAAAAACTTGAATATGTTTTTATTGCAAATTCATTCTCTTACGGTTGTCTCGGGGGTGAGCTTTCAATAATCGGTGCTTCCTAAATTCAATAGCAATTATTGATTAACAACACTCAGAAAAGCCTTCAGAAAATATCAAACCTGATTATTACCAAACATTGATGAAATTTGTTTAATAACAGGGTCATTCCAAATGATAGGAATAACATTTGGCGGTATTCTTGTATGAAGTAATGGAATAAATTTTGGAAATGAATGAATAATTTTTTGAAGGTAATTCTCTGAATTGAATGCTCCTTGAGATTTTAGTACTTAAAATTCAACTTTAGAATATCTCTTTAGACAACAACAACCACAAGACGAATACATACATTGAATAAGAAGCCACGCGTGTGTTACATCAAGGTGATTAGGATTTGAAGGTTGCATTGCTGTTGATGAAAATGTTATTGATTTTTTTGCGTCTCGATTCGTTTTCAAAAGGTTTGATAATGCACCTTCAATGCTTTGAGCTTTACTAACATTGATACCTAAAATATATTTCAGACCAGTCAAACTCTACTATCGGATGTGTACCTTCTTTGCTCGCTCTTTTCTGTGCTTGCGATTGAATTTGTCCAAATTGTCGTGATGTCGGCTGTTGATGTAGAAGATTTGGTAATTTCGACGGAGAAATGCTACTGAATTGATACATCTTTGATGTTGCATGCAATGGCATGGGGGAAATACTTAATACACTTCCGAAATTTCCCGACAATGTACCTGGTATAACCGTTTCATGTTGTCGATGTACTTGTAGAGCACGAACGACAAGTGATGAAAGCAATTGAACAAATTCAACTTCATTTAAATGATATTGATTTCTTTTTAAATCTAATAAATTCATTGTATTGTGTTGAAGTGATGACAATTGAGATTCATCATGATCATCAACAATATGACCTTGATCACAAAAAAGATCAGTCATGGAAACTTTATTTGGAATAAGTACACGACGATTAGACATGCGATAAAAGCCCGCCGTTCTTTTATGTTCATCGAGAAGTTTTTGAACAGGATCATTGATTGGGTCTTGATCGTTAACCAATGTATTCGATTCAGGTACAACATTCGATTGAGAGTCATCGGCGTCTTTTTGTGAAATATTTTCTAAAACAATAGGAGAAATTAGTTGGACGGTTATTTCTGTTTGTTTTTCAGTACCATTTTGTTTTGCATAAGAATCCCACATATTTGTATTGTTGGGCAAAAGTGATGAACTAAAATAGAAGAACGATCGAACAGAGAAAATCAAATTCTAGAAATACCGTTGTCGTTTGAGTTCTTCTGGTACAGAAGTTTTAGCCGCGGATATGGGCGGTTGTCTTTGCCGATTCATTTCAGTTGGCGTTCGGTCTCGTCGAGGTCGTGGAGGATAGGATGCATCGAAATTTCGCTTTTCATTTATTTCTACACGAATCGTTGTCTGCAGTTGTGTCGTTGATGAAATCAAACTTGATGGAACACTAAATGCACTAGGCTCATTTGTTGCTGGTCGAGAAAAATCATTTTTAATCGATGCGGTTCCAATAAATTGCGAAGACGGCGAACAAGAACGTGCTAAATAAGTCATATTTTCATTTTCTCTCTCGCTATTTTTCAATCGTCAAACTTTGTTCGATGTCATGCGTTCGGATACTATTTGAGTCATCCGGTTGCTCGTCTATTTCTACTGATCGGTGCTCTCCAGTCGGCGTTGGTGTTGACAAACGATTTTTTTCTTTCAGGTAATTTTGAAGACTAAAATTGTCTTCCGGTAAAATCTAGAACAAAGAAAATAGAATAGGCGCATGCGAATAAATCATGTTTATTTCTTACCTGTAAATACGAAATTTCATTTGCACAATCAGTTAATACCGTATCGGACATGATACCGGTTAATTTTTTTAATGAATCACAGCATTCAGTGCGAACAAGAACCTGTATAGCAATAGCAAAGAAAAACAATGCTGAGAGAAGAAGAAAGACAAATCACTCATACTCGAGCATCGTTTAAAAATGAATTTAATAATGCAATAGCGATAGCTTTTGTTTCTTGTTGAAGATTAGCAAGAGCTGTTGCAGCTATTAGCCGATAGTCAGCATCATGATGCGATAGAATTGATATCACAGTATTTGCAGCTCGATCAAATTGTTCTTTAGAAAAACCAATAACACTAAAAAAAAGATATCAAGAAATTAAACTTGCCAAACTCTCTTAAACGATGAGAAGGAGAAAATGCTGTTGAAAATAAAGAATACTCATGCATAACATAGACTGCAAATGTTCTGCTATTCCAATATATCGATGCGTGCACGTCATAGGCAGCTTATAGATTTCAAATTAGTTAATTTGACGGTAAAAGCATTCATTAGACCCGAATATAATTCTTCTACTATTCGACAAAAATATTATTCTGTGATACAACGGTGAACTGATTGAAAATCGAGTCAAACTAATTGATTTCGTTGCATAGTTACCTATTTAATTCGGCAAGATATGACGTGAATGTTTTAAGGTTTTTCTTCGATGCTGTTGCCATTTTCTCTATGATTGCATCCAGCACAAAATCGAGCGTAATAGAAAAATGCCCTCGAGAAAACCATCGTTCCTCGGAAATCTTTTTCAATAATGGATGAATGTCATCATCAGCGTTATCTGCATTAGTTCTTGATACGACGTTTTTCGTTCTACCTTCAATTCCATCGATAATTCTTTTTAATGAAAAGTTTTCATCAGCGGCATTCTTAAAGAAAAACAAAATTCAATGAGTGATGCATTAGCAAAATACTCGTTTTACATACGTGAACGAGTGACATATCAGCAAGAACTAAATCAATATCATCGGACGTATTAACATCAGTTAAAAATTTAATTGCATTAATAACTTCTTGTCGAGATTTATCATTCTAAATAAAGTAATGTAAATATTAAAAAAAAACGAAGAATCAAATTTTTAATATAGTTTTTACTGCTTCAAGAGTAAGTGCATAGGCAAGTAATTGAACAATAATATCTTTTCTTTCGATCATAAATTCAGCAATTGCATGAATTGTACATACATCTAACGGATGATGTTTATCTTTCGATAAATGATGAAGAAGTATATCAAGAATTTGGTTGACAATTACTGGCTCGATACCGCTCGTTCTTAAAAAATAATCATATTTATCATCATTTAATTTAAGCAAGAAGATTTCGATACCGGAATATTTCAGCAATATAAGAACATGCCGATGCAAAGGAATCATTTTGTTTTAATTTAAGAATTTCAATTAAATAAAGTAACATAGAACGAAGATTCGGTTTGCCATCTTTTTCTTGTTTCCACCAAGGTTCATTGAGCATTCGTTTAAATAAATCTGGCATAGTATCCTAGTTATATTTATTTTTAGAGCCTTTCACAGTAGAAATTAGTAATACGTTAAACACTCAATGATTAAATACATGTTTTATTTAAATATAGTTAATATAAGCATCCCCTTATCATAAACGAAAAGTACCTTATTTGAATATGCACTATATATTTTGTTGTATCTTTCAAGGAAAAAATGAACACTTCCACAAGAACAAGAGAACTTTCTATTCGATTAAACTTACTTTTTGACGTGACACAAGTGCTCCTAGAGAGAAAGAAAACCAATAATTATAACAATAAAGGTAATATAAAGTCAACCTTTTGGTAGTTTTTCTTTAGTCGGTTTTGTTACAGGATCTGGATCTACCAGATCTGACCATTCGTCATCATCTTTATCAGGGAGATTGTTGAAATTTAAATTCTAAAGAATACAAGCGAAACTTGTCTCCAAACGTTCTAGAAAAGATCATAAATGATGACCGTCGTTTATCGTAGCTACAAAAAAAACGTCACTGCGGCGTTGGCATCGAAAAACAATTTGTTTTTCATTTGAGGTTGTTACATTTTTTCTCACACTGGCTTTTCTGTATAAATACTCGTCAAAAAAAACTCCCCACTTCCATCAATGTTTTTCCTGGCGAGATCTCTACCTAGAAACAACATAATTTGCTTATAGAATCCTTTTCGATTGAAACATTACTTTATAATGAAAATGAAGATACATTGCTCAATGAAATAAAACAACCCCCGAAATAATAAGAAAAAGGCTACGATGAAATGCAGTCATACCTGAAGATTGTTAAGTATGTCCTACATTAGAAATAAAAACAAAATTAATAGATAAATTAGATTTGATATAAACATGCCAATCTCAGTTGAAATGCTTTTACTTCAATTGGCTTTGTTTCTTTCTTTTTGAGCGATTTACGAAAAATTGAATTAGGTATTAAGGCTAAACATTGTCAAACAAACTTTATTAATACACGAAAATAATCTTTTCGTAAATTACTGTCAGGCGCGATGAGATACGCGTTTTTCTTTTTCGACATATAAGCCATTTCAATTCGAGCCTTTTCTCGTTTGTACAAATCTGCATAGCGTACTGGAGCGGGTCCTTCGCATTCTTCAGAAAAAAAAGGAAAAGAAAACGTCGCGATATTTTTTGCCAATGATTTTACCTGCTGAAAAACTTTTTTCATGATGCCGTACTGATTTAGCAGATTCGACTAATGTTCTTGATTGAAATATACATACAGAGATACAATGAATAGGATTCTATCTCGATCTTACTTGCCACTGCTAGTCCGTCTTTTCTTACGTAACGCAGCATACAAAGGTGAAGAGACTTTCGGATGGATCATTTCTTTTGTTCCTGCTTGTTGCTTTCTAATGAGAAGAGAAGAAAATGAATTACAAGTAGATGAGAAAGAGTAGCAAACACTAGACGTTGTTGATGTTATTTCAATCACTTTGGTGATTCTTTTTTTCTCTTTCATCTATGCTTGATCTGCCTGTAGAGCATAAGTAAAAACATCTCAAGCATTGATTACAAATAAAAGTAAAAGAACACAGTGACTTTTGTTTTAAATCCCAAAGCAACATGAGACATTAAAAGTTATCTGAAATATTTTCAGAAGACAAATAATAAATCCGACGGATTGTTATTTTATTGCATTTAATAATTTTCCATTACGAACAAAAACTTTTCTTTTCTTTTATTCACATAGAGAAAAATTCAAGAATAAACAATGACTTTTTTCACCTCGTATCTGTAACCAAGTGAATAAGTAGAGGTGTGAGAAACCTCATAAAAGTCATCGTCGTGGCAGAATATTTTTCATTAGAGATGCCTAGTAATTGAAATTTATTTTATATTATAGAGAGAAAAAAATCGTTGAGATCATCCAAAATAAAAATAGTCTTGTGTCGTTTGCATTTTAATATGGGCAATGCAATTAAACATCATCCGTCATCTTCCAACTAATTCAACAACAAAAAAAGAATTCAGTTTCAATCAAATTTGCATATAAAATGCAAAAAGTGAAATCAATCACATAAGCCACTGGGAAGAACAAACTTCTGATTAGCACGTCCGAAATCTGACGGATGACTTTATCAAAATACTGAAAATTCCGCTAATGAAACAATGAGAATACGGTGGTTGTGATCGAAATAGATCTACGTCAAGTTTTATTCTTCGATGCTTATTTCTTTATTTATAATAGTTTTGACTTCGCCATTCACATCAAAAAAGTCATTAAAAAGTCCTTTAATCTTGAAATTTTGTTGTTATGATCCTTTGAAAAATAAAGTAACGCTGCCAAAAGCCATGAGCAATACGAGATATGTCACTGGTACTGGTAGAATAGCATCATTACATAGATCTGTCTTGCAGCACCATGTACCAAAGCCACCAGCGTTGAGTTCTACGCAAGAATTCGAAATACCACGTGCTGTAGCAACGCCTCTCGCCGTTAATTTCTATGTTAAATATCGCAATATATAAGCATATGTTAATGTAAAGCTGAACTTACCCAACACGAGTATTCGGTTCCATTAAATTCCCTACTTGTCTTTGTATTGTTTCTATTTACTGGGCCATTACACGACGTACATTCAAAGCATCTGAGACTGTCACCTAGTTTTCCCAGTGCTAAAAAATAGATGATATATTTTTGGAAAGTTCTCTGCAAGACTTCTTTGATGATTGAGCATACCCAATAGAACAAAACAGGAGATAATAATAGTTTGTCGAACAGACATATTTTCGATGCACTCTTGTAGGATAGATTTATGATAATCTAATCGATGTCTTTTATACTCGTAAATTTCAACTGCAGAAGAAATTGATCTGTTTATTTATCAAAATTTAATATGCATGTTGACATTCTTGACATAGAATGGGCTATTCGATTTCATTTTGGCTTGAGAAAAAGAGAAAATACTCGATTTCAAATGGATGTGTTTGACATTATTCATACAGGTATATATAGCTAAAGGCAACATCTGACAATTCTTATGAGCTAAGAAATATTTGGATGGGTTTATTTTGTATTAACTTCCTCGGGATACTTTTTTCTAAGTATTTAAAAGTACAACTCAAAATATTGATAATACGACGTGTAAGATTTCTTTCAATAAGTTTTTGCTCGACAAATATGACTTCTGTTTTTGCATAATATCGAATATCATTTTCTGATGAATGATACGATGAAAACTTGTTCGAAATCAATTGCCGCCCCTATTTGTTTGCTAAATTTCGTGGGTGTGAGGAGTCAACAAAGAGATCACTCTTTCACACCCACGTCCTTAGAAATTAAGCTCAATAATGACATTAACTTTTTTTCTTAACTTTTTAATAGAATTTTGGTTGAGATCTGACTTTAGAAATTTTTATATTGATAATTATTCCTTGCATCTTTTTACAATAAGTTTTTATATAATTCAACTCTCTGTATAGTTTTTACACTATGGGGACATGAGGACATTGAATTTATCTGAAAAATATTTCTCCTCTTTTCTGTTTTTCTATAATCTATTATCACGAGCAGGAAAACAAGAAAAAGAGAAATATATTTTTTCGATTAATTATTTTTTTCGCGCATTCCAATCTCAACTGAAATTTTCATGTCAACTGTGACAAATATATTGCAAATCGAATTTACTCTGATTCGACTTCCTAATATTGCAATTTTCTGACAGCATTTCATGCTACTCGCTGTGGAACCGGTGTTGGTTAAATAGATTGAAGCAAAACTCGACCGCACCGGAAAGCACGAATACAGTAATACTGAAAAATGCAGTTCTTTTGAGAGCGAAGACATTGGTGTCAAGATTTGCCAACAAATAATGTTCATAAAGAGTATTCGACCGCTGCCGAAAATCCCCACTAAGGTCAGGATGTTTTTAGCAAGTTTGACCTCACGTTTAGCATTTGGCACGTGCGGCGTTGTATTGTGTAATGCCATATTGAAGATTTGTCGAGATGATTTATAGGCACGATATACAATAACACCATAGATACTCATGACAATACAAAGTTACACAACTACCCAGATCGACTAATCCGACGACGGATTCTATCGGATCCTAACACATCCTACTAACCAAGGAAATCCAGTTGGATTCTGGGTTTCGGAACTATTGACGGATCCGACGGAAGAATTTTAAAAAATATCAAAATTCTATTTTAGCGCAAAAGACCTTTTTAGAAGTTGAGTATAGCAGAGCTTTTTGGCGCATCGGATCCCAGAGTCCGACGGAATCTGTTGGTTCTTGTCGGTTTTCATGTAAGATCCGATCCAACCCATTTTCAGATCCGATTGTAGGAATGAACGATCTGGGTAATCCAGCTGCAAGACCAAATAGAGTTAGTCTCAAAAGTTTAACGTTGATAGTAGAAAGACGCACTTTTTTGTCGAGTCCTAAGAGACCAGGACTGGTAAGTGAAACGGCCAATATACCGATACTGATAATCCAACTCGAAGCAATCATATACCAGTGAACACGAAATGTGACAAGATATTTATATTTGTAGAACACCGCAAAATAGAGACGCCAGATCGATTGTAAAGCATAAGAATAACATGTACCAGTTATTGAGGTACGACACCGAACAGCTCGAAATATGCAGACAGGTTGGTATTCTGACGATGTAGAGTAAAAACCGTAGACAGATCCAATGAGAGAATTAAGTTGAAATG